TTCACAATATCAAAGACATGGAATCAGCACAAATGCCCATCAGTGATAGACTAGATAAAGAAAATGTGGTACATATACACCATGGAATACTATGCAGCCATAAAAAGGAATGAGATTATGTCCTTTGCAGGGACATGGATGGAGCTGGAAGTCATTATCTCAGCAAACTAATGCAGGAACAGAAAACCAAATACCACATACTCTCACTTATGCGTGGAAGTTGAATGATGAGAACACATGGACACAGGGAAGGGAACAACACACACTGGGGCCTGTTGGAGGGAGGGGTTGGGGAGGAAGATCATTAGGAAGAATAGGTAATGGACATTGGGCTTAATACTTAGGTGATGGGATGATCTGTGCAGCAAACCATCATGGCACACGTTTGCCTATGTAACAAACCTGCACATCCTGCACATGTACTCCAGAACTTAAAATAAATGTTGAAGGGAAAAAAAAAAAGTAGGGGAAGGACATTCTTGGCAGAAGGAACAGCCTGAGCACAAGCACAGAGGAGAGAAACAGCTTGCTGTTTTGGAGACAAGTACAATCATGTGACTGATATGCTCTTACGTGCGCATGTCAGAAATTCATTTCATTCTCCTTCTCAGAAGGACAGCGTTACAAAAGATTATTCTGAGCATAGTACCTAACTCAGTGGAATCTCTCCACAGTGGAAGTCACTTGTAATTACTAAATAAGGATCTTTATCTCCAAAAACTCCTGAGCCTCAAAGAGTTAGTCTAATTAGTACACATGAATTCATAAATCCAAGTTTGCAAACTGAGTGAATGTTGATGATTCATTTCTGTATCCTATCTAACGCTTAAGACTGAAGTCACCTGTTTATCCTATGAATTCCCTTGAAAAAATTTTTCTCTGAGCTGTTAGTGTATTTACATTTGGCTTAAGAAATTTTCTATTTTCTACCTCATTCTTTACTTATTCTTAACCTCCGCATTTCTGCAATTTCTTGGGAGAGAGAGCCGTGTTCGTTTTGTTTTGGTTACAATGCTTTGCACATAATGGCTAGGCACTTTAAGATGATGAAATAGTTGATAAAGTTTCTGCAACTATGGCATTATTAGTAGAGAAAGCAATCAGCAGTGCTTCTAGCCCTCAAGGTCCTAGGGATGCACTGAGAAGAGTTTTTGAGTCCATTTCTTCAGGGGTTATTTTTAAAGGTAGTCCTGGGCTTCTGGATCTTTGTGAAAAGGATCCCTTTGATACCTTGGCAACAATGACTGACCAGCAGCGTGAAGACATCACATCCAGTGCACAGTTTGCATTCAGACTCCTTGCATTCCGCCAGATATACAAAGTTATAGACATGGATCCATTATCACAAATGAGCCAACATTTTAACATCCACAACAACAGGAAACGAAAAAGGGATAGTGATGGAGTTGATGGATTTGAAGCCGAGGGAAAAAAAAAAGAGAAAAGATTGTGATAACTTTTAAAAGATGCCTGTAAATCTTCAGTGTTAAAAAAACAAAAGATGCCCATTTATTGGCTGTTTGTCATTCATCATAATGTCTACCTTGAAAAATTTATCAAGAATTTAAAGGATTTCATGGAACAACCAAGTTTTTCTATGATATTAAAAATATACAGTGTTACATATTATTTGAATGGAAAGACACACACACACACACACACACACACACACACAGACACAAAACAGAATGTGCTCTGACTAGGCAGGAAGCAGCAGTTCCGATTTTTTCTCATTATTTTGATTTTATTTTCTGGTTGCCCTAGCTTCTCCACCCTACTTTTGTGTCTTTTGTTAACTAGGGCATTGTCTTATTAAATCTTTACTGTATTTAATGCAGGATTTGGGCTTCAGTTGCTCTGTGTATTTTGATACTTTTATTTACAGGTTTTGTTTGCTTTTTGACACTAGTTGTAAGTTAGTTTGTGTTATAGATGATATCCTTTACCCCTTCTTAATATTTTACAGCAGTACTTTTTTTGTAACGTGAGACTGCAGAATTTCTTTTGTTTTTCTATATGTGAAGCATTACAACTCAAAAAGTTATCCTGCCATTCAAGTGCTCAGAA